ACGTCGTCCCTCCCTCCCTCCCTCCCTCCCTCCCTCCCTCCCTCCCTCCCTCCCTCCCTCCCTCCCTCCCTCCCTCCCTCCCTCCCTCCCTCCCTCCCTCCCTCCCTCCCTCCCTCCCTCCCTCCTTCCCTCCCTCCCTCCCCGTCGTCTTCCCGCGCTCCCTCCGCAGGGCACGGCGGACGCGGTGCGGCAGTACCTGTGGCAGCTGGAGGAGCAGAATGTGCAGGAGTTCCTCATTCTCGCGGGAGACCACCTGTACCGCATGGACTACCAGCGCTTCATCAAGTGCCACCGCGAGAACGATGCCGACATCACCATCGCCGCGCTGCCCATGGACGAGAAGCGCGCCGAGGCCTTCGGGCTCATGAAGATCGACGACACGGGCCGCATCGTCGAGTTCGCCGAGAAGCCCAAGGGCGACGCGCTCAAGGCCATGCAGGTACGAATTGCTGAGAAGCAAGGCTGACGCGTCCTCCCAGGCATGCCGTATTTGCTCCTGTCTCTCCCTCCCCATCCCCTCTTGCTCCCGTTCCTCTTCCCCTAAACACGGCCCACGTTCTTCTCCCCCCCCCCCCTCCCCCAAATACCCCTCCCCCCCCAACCCCGTCACTGCCTCACCTTTCCTCCCCTCTCTCCCTCCTCCTCTCCTCCCCCTTTCCTTTCCTTCCGCGTATCACCACAGGTGGACACGACGATTCTCGGGCTGGACGCGGAGCGCGCCAAGGAGATGCCGTACATCGCGTCGATGGGCATCTACGTCATCAGCAAGGACGCCATGATCCGCATGCTCGCCGACGACTTCCCCGACGCTAATGACTTCGGCTCCGAGGTCATTCCTGGGGCCTGCGCCAAGGGCGCCAAGGTGAGCGAGTGCTTCACGGGGAGCCAAGGGCGTGGGGGGTGGGCCATGGTGAGACATGGGGAGACATGGGGAGGCGGTGAGGTGAAAGAGTCGAGGATGCCATGGTCCGCATTGTTTGCGGAGGAATTCACTGATGCTAATGACTCTGGCTCCGAAGTCATCCCTGGGACGTGAAGGGCGCCAATGTGAAGGATTCAAGGATTGGTTAGGCCATAGACGGCAGGGGAAGGTGAAGTGAATGGCGTAAGGTGGGAAATGGTGGCGGCAGCAAGATGAAACGGGAGTGTAGAGACAGAGACGTGAGATGGAAGAGTTGGTAGGTTGAGAAAGAGAGACGCTGATGGAGGGTTGCAGGGGAAGTTAGGAGATGGTGGAGATGGAGATGAAGCTTCTCCTCATGCTGTTAGTTGTTTCAAAACTTGAGATGGATTCTCGTGCTTGCTTCACATCCCCACCGTCTCTTCGTCCAACTCATCCACCTGCAGCTCCCTTTTGCCCACCGTTTCCATTCATCGCGTGTTCCTGTTCGACTTCTACTTTCTTCGTCCCCTCTTGGCCGCAATGATGGCAGTCTCAGCACCAGCCTCACTCCTCCTGTTCTCTCCATCCCCTTCTCCTGATTGTCATATCTTGTTACCACCACCAGGTGCAAGCGTTCCTGTACGATGGGTACTGGGAAGACATTGGAACCATCGAGGCCTTTTACAACGCCAACCTCGCCACGACGCAGCCGGACTCGCCCTTCAGCTTCTACGACCGTTCTGCACCCATCTACACCCAGGCGCGCTACCTGCCGCCGTCCAAGCTGCAGAGCGTGGACATCTCTGAGAGCGTCATCGGCGAGGGATGCGTCATTGAGGTGAGTGCTGAATGGCTGAGATGACATCATTGTAGGTGGGAGGGGATGAGTGAGATGGGAGTGATTCACAAAGGCAGCATCAGCAATGCACCCATCCACACCCAGGCACACTTCAAGCTGCCACTGGTTGTGCTGCAGAATCAAGGCGAGTCTGGAGGGATGTTACTTGTGATGACTGGCGGTGTGTGGGGCGATGGCTGTAGCCACCTCTGCCACCAGCTGCATTGACCAGTAGTTTGATGGAGAGACGGTGTGCCTTCGATACACAGCATGCTCTCATTCTACACCACCTCCCTCCTTTCACCCCTCTTGCACCCTTCTTCAGTTCTTAACCCCCTTCTGCTCTCCCATTCCCCTCGTTTCCTGTGCTGCATCCTCTATGTGCTGCAGGACTCGCAACTACACCACTCGGTGATCGGTCTTCGCGCCAAGATCGGTGCAGGGTCGATCATCAAGGACACGCTGGTCATGGGTGCTGATTACTATGAGGTGAGTAGTGTGATGTTGAGCTGTCGTACGAGGCGAGTGTGCTCCTTGTTGCATTTATTAGTCGTGAGGTGAGTGTGTTAATGATGCTGAATGATGTGAGGAATTGCATGGTGCTGAGCTGATAATGCCACAGGTTTTCCACCTGCATTCACTCCATCTGCTTTTCCCCCCACTTAGCCTCCCTTTGCCTTTCTTGCGTCATCTATTCTGTTGTACCAACCAGACGGAGGAGCAACAGGAGGCTCTGGTTGCCAGTGGTGGCGTGCCGATTGGCATTGGAAAGAACGTGGTGATTCACAAGGCCATCATTGACAAGAATGCGCGCATCGGGGACAACGTGCAGATCATCAACAAGGACCAGGTGGAGGAGGCAGCTCGGGAGACAGATGGCTACTTCATTAAGAGCGGCATTGTTACGGTCATCAAGGATGCTGTGATCCCCCCCGGCACCGTTATCTAGATGGTTAGAGAGCTGTGCCACAGCCTCAGTTTTGTGAAATCTGAATTGTGTTTTGGTATTGTCCATGGTTGGACGATTGGTGCATGTATGAAAATTTGAACGATAGCCTTTATTAACAAAGGCGTTTAGTACGGTAATTGAAACCAGAGAGCCTACTGAATCCCTCATAGTTCCTCATACCATTGGTTGTGTAGATACTGTTATCTTTTGTCATGCTAAGGGCGGGTCAAACAATGTACGTATTCTCAGAAAACCCTACCCAACCATCTTGTATAAAATTTTAAAATTCTCTAGATTAACTGTAAACCGTTTAAAACCGCATTCGGTCGTACTCCCCGTACCCTCCCCAACCATTTTGTGGATGCCAGGCAAGGCCCTCCACCAGGCTCCAGCTTTTCACCAAGACTTCTGTCCAGATGTCCGCATTTTAGGGCGCGTAACTTTTTCCCTTTCTGGCATATGTCCGGACGGAGCCCCCAAAACGTCCGGACGGAGCTCCGTCCAGACGTTTGGGAAGCAGGTCCGGACGATAGGGCGTCCGGACCACAATTGTGCAACTTTTTTCCCCTATCGAAAATGTAGAATCTCGCCACGAATAATAACACGCATTACAGAAATCGTATAGCACTTAGGGATTTCGCCACCAAAATTTGACGGCATTGTATTGGTTGGAAAATCATTCGATTCGTGGCCGAATCACAGCGCAGATAAAACGGACCGTCCGAAATGCCGTTCGGACGGAGTCAGCAGGTTAGTCCGGACCACATTTTGGCAGAAAAGTGTCAGATTGTGTCCGGACGGTAGCGACGTCGCAGGGGGTCTTGCGAACATCTAAACGGACTGTGACGAAATTAGTTACCCAACAGAAGTCCGGACGGGGCCTCCGTCCGGACGATGAAAGGTGAAAAAGTTACGCGGCCTTATTCCTCGTGCCAGTCTGGTCCCGATCCGAGCCCCGACATTTTATTCCCCATGTAAGCACCTCCAACTGGATTGTACAGTTCTGCGATACTGTAAAAGGGGCTGGGCAGCGCAAGCGGCATGGTACGAAGCTGCGGGGTGAGCCTCCAACCTCCTAGTAGCTGCTGCATGTGGGTTGCGGTGGTCACTCCAGGACGTTTGCCACTTTCCAAGATGGCGGGCAGCCGAATTAGTAGTGTAGCTGTGTATTCCTCCCCATCCCAATTGGCGGCCAGTGATTCTGCCTGCCCAGCGGCTGTTTCGAACCTGCTGCCCGTGATTCGCACCTGACCTCACACAAAACGAAACCTGTCAGGCTGGGGGACACAAGGGCAGGGCTTGCGTACAAAGGACGGCTCTCACGATTGGCGGCGAGTTTGCTCTTGAGCGAGGGAAGTCTTGAGTTCAGCGAGGAAAGGGGAGTCTTGAGCTCCACGGGGTGACTTCAAAAACCGCGGTGAGAACTCTCGAGCCCTGCGAACCGCGGTTCTCTCCGCCCATCATAAAGAAAACATGCCCTAAAATCCAGTGCCCGACATTCCCACATCAGTACGCAAGCTCCCAGCCGGATCAGGTCCACGTGGACTGTACAGTGAGAAAACCAGGGGCAGGACAGCGGAGCGCACGGCAGGAAACCGCGGAAGCGGAGTTTTGGAATTGCGACGACCTAGAAGCCGCCGTTCCTTGGTGAGGGGGTTGCGTCGATCGATTTTTCCTCCTAGAAGCTGCCGTCGTTCGCTTACCAGATCTGGCAGATAGCGAAGTTCACAGTACTGTGGTAGTGCACTGTATTCCTCCCAACCCCAACCAACCGACCGAATCGTGACGGCGAACCCAGCAGCTGTTTCGTTCGTGCTGCCCGCGATTCATAATCAACACAACAAAAGCTGTCGTTTCGGGGGACACATGAATGTCGGCTCGGGACTCGGTTCGGGATTACCTATGGGGGACGGCTTCCTCACCTTGGCGGCGACTCGGCGCGTTGCTTCGGTCGGGGCGATGAGTTCGAGCTCCGCGGAGGGGATCTGCTCTGGACCTCCGCGAGGGGAGGGGAGCCTCGAGCTCCGCGGGATGTTTTCGAGATCCGCAGGGGGCCCAGCCTGGGGGGGGTTCTCAAGCTTCTACGGTCCTTTCCAGGTTCTCCTGCCGAGGCTAGTACTCCTTGGAACCCGAGAACTCCTCAAGCACTCCCAAATCCCGAGGGAACTGTCTGCTCCTGCCTGCCTGTTTCTCGTTGCTAGTGGTTGGTTCACCCAGCCGCTTATCCCGGAATCGTGAATATACCGTCACTCCAATCGTACAAAGGCGATCTCTTTGCTCTGCGAGCAGTGTTTGTTACCCCACCGCGAGGCATTCGGAGGCCAACCAACATGGCGTTTAGTGGGCCGCTTTTCGGGTCTGTGGCGGCGTGTCTTGTACTGCTGCTCATTTCGGCCAGCAGTATTAACTGCCAACCAGTCGCTCTGCCGGATATTTCATCGTACGATAACGTGGCGATGTTGAGCGACGGATTCGAGCTGCACTGGAGCGTGAACGACACTGCAGCAACGATTAGCATTGCCGCGAAGGCTCAGACCGCCGGATGGCTCGCTATAGGCCTCTCCGAAGTTGGCACGATGGTAGGATCTGGTGAGTTGGTGACCAATTCAACAAATGTGAAGGTAAATGACGATTCTTTTCATTTTGCCTTTTATCACGTCAATCACGTCAACCAGATTGAATCTGTGTGTTTTGTCAATCACGTCAAAATAAGTGTCTGCGTACTTTTACATTCTCGCTGTGTACCCCGCCCGGTTCTAGAGTTGCTCAGCTTCTCGCAAGAGTGATTCTGAAATGTTCCCTTTTATGCTGTGCGACAGATGTTCTCGTCGCATGGGTCGCAGAGGGGCGCGTGTATGTGACTGATCGGTTCATCTTCAACAAGTCGGTGGAAGGCGTCGCATTGGACGACCAGCAAGACTGGCGCGTTCTGGGTGGCTTCCAAACCACGGACCAATCCACGGGCGACACGTGGACCACCGTGCACGTGTGGCGCCAGCTGGACACTGGCGACTGCAACGACCGCCCCGTCGTCGCCGGGCGACTGCAGAACGTCATCTGGGCGACGGGCGAAACCAACGAATTTGGTTACCATGGGACGTCATCTCGTGGCTCCGCGGCGCTCGTGCTGCTCCCCGCGCCAGCCCCCTCCATCCTTGCACCCCCGTCGCCCCCTTCCGCCTCTTCCGCGTCCGCGGAAGCGGGCAGTCAGCGCGCCGCGGATCTCGGGCAGGCGAGCGGGCAGGTGAACGGGCAGGAGCAGCAGCTGAACTGGACTCTGAGCAACTTCGCAGTGCCTGCTGATAACGCCACGACTTATGTGTGCAAGGTAAGGTCGCCGCAGGGATCCGCAGGGGGGATTTGCAGTTTCGTGCTTTTGCGTGTGTTCTGCCCATGCCTGTGGCTGTTCCTGTGCCTGTGCCTGTCCCTGTCTCTGTCCCTGTCCCTGTCCCTGTCCCAATGCCCGTGCCTGTGCGCGTGCCCGTGCCAGTGCTTCTACCTCTGTCTCTGCCCCACGTCCCCGCCTCGTCCCTTTCCCCCCTCTCATAACGGAGTTCCTTCTGATCCCCCTTCTCGTTCCCCTCTTCTCCCTTCGTTTCCCCTCCCATTCCACCTCTCTTTCCCACTCCGTGCATGCGCAGACGTTTGACTTGCCATTCACCAGCAAGGTGCACATAACAGAGTTTGGTGTGCTCCTCAACTCCACCTATCCGCCCTCCGTGCATCACGCCATTGTCTATGGCTGCTCCGAGTAAGCCATGGGCCGAGTTGTCGATTTGTCTTTTTGGTTGTCTCCTGTATTGAGTGACTCAAAACATGCGGAGTTCGGTTCGCTCCTCCACCTATCCGCCCTCCGTGCATCACGCCATTGTCTATGGCTGCTCCCAGTAAGCCACATGTTGAGAAGCCTGCAGCCTTGAGTCGAGAACCGCAGTTTGAGTCGAGAAACCACAGCCTTGTATTGGCATCGGCCACTTGTAAGTGGTGGGTGCTCCTTGGGTCATCCACTCCACCCATCCGCCCTCCGTGCACCACGCCATCGTCTATGGCTGCTCTCAGCAAGCCACGGGCCGAGTTGTCTTTGCAGTTGACTTGTGTTTTGAGTCGACCCAAAACACGCGGAGTTCGGTTCGCTCGTCAACTCCACCCATATTAGTTCGACTTTTGAGAATTCTCAAAAGTCGCACTGAGAATTCTCAAAAGTCGCACTAATATGTCGTTGCACTTGACTTCTGTTTTGAGTCGACCCAAAACACGCGGAGTTCGGTGTGCTCCGCAACTCCACCCATCCGCCCTTCGTGCACCACGCCATCGTCTATGGCTACTCTCAGTAAGCCAAGGGCCGAGTTGACCTTTGAGTTGGCTTGTGACTTGTCGCTTAAATCAGCACTTATGTAAACAGTTGAGTTTACTTTTGAGCTACTCCTTCCCCCTTTCCCCTTCTCCCTTCCCCTTCCCCCCTTCTTCCTCCCGCTTTCCCTTCCCCCCTGCCCCCTTACCCCCCATTCCAGGGCGGAATACCCAAACATAGCCAAAGTCAAGGGTCAATTTGATTGCATCACCGCACCCCCCCCCTGCCTCACAACCATTGCCATGTGGGCTATAGGCGGCCGCCCCTTTGTCTACCCCGATGGGGTGGGCTACCCTGTGGGGCCCAGTTACTTCACCAGATTCGTGCTCCAGGTGCGTTGAGTGCTGTGCGGAGTGGTTTAGTGCGGTTACAATGCAGTGTGCGTCGACTCATATATGCCATGTGGGCTATAGGCGGCCGCCCCTTTGTCTACCCGATGGGGTAGGCTACCCTGTGGGGCCCGGTTACTTCACCAGATTCGTGCTGCAGGTGCGTTGATGCGGCGCACAGCGGTTCAGTGCGGTTCCGTAGCATTGTGGACTATAGGCAGCCGCCCCTTTGTCTACCCCAATGGGGTGGGCTACCCGGTTACTTCACCAGATTCGTGCTCCAGGTGTGTTGTGTTGAGTGCAGTGCGGAGTGGTTCAGTGCATTTCAGTTGCATTCTAAGCCATGGCCGGTCGCCCCTTCACCTACCCTGATGGGGTGGGCTAAGCTGTAAGGCCTTCCCCTTCACTTGGCCCGATTACGTCACCAAATACGTGCTCCAGGTGTGTTGTGTTTAGTGTGGTGCGGAGTGGTTCAGTGCAGATGTATGCTCCAGGTGCGTTGTTCCTTCCAGACTGCTTCAGCAGATGTATGCTCCAGGTGTGTGCAGTGCGGTTCAAAACTTATCCGTTTTGATTTTGAGGGCTTCCGAGATGCCATCGAATCGACCAACACTCGTCTTCGTTCCAATACCATTGACAGCACACCATCCATGTAGGTTGATTTTGACTTTGAACTCCTGCACTGATGAAGGCCTAGCAGGTATGATCCCCGTGCAAAGCCGAAACATGTTTGCTTTCGTCTAGAGTTTGAACTGAGTTGTGCGTTCGGATCTTAATCAACTTTTTCGAGGGTTACTTTTTTCACTAGTAGACTATCGTCCCTTTGCTAAAGGCGACCTTGCCTACTGCTGCCCTTCTTCATGAGCACAGATCCGTATTGACAGCACACCATCCGTGTAGGTTGATTTTGAGAATTCTCAATCTGAGCATGAAGAAAAAGCCCCCCCTCTCTCTCTGCTTCACTGACCTGGTCTGGGACTACATTCATGTATATGTTTTTGTTTGTATCTGTTATATTCATTACTTGTGTATAATTATCACATATGCACGTTTTTTCTCTTCTTTGCTTCTTCTCCCTCCTGTCCCCCCCCTTTCGCTCCCTCTCCAGGTGCACTTGAACAACCCTGACCTCCGTTCTGATAAAGTGGATAACTCTGGCTTCTACCACCGGCATGCCCTCGTGGACCCAAACCACCACGCACCCTGTAGGGCTTCAACCCTCCCCCCTCCCTCTCCCCCCCTTCCTCTCCCCCCCTCCCTCTCCCCCTTCCCCCTCTCTTGTTTCACTCCCCAGGTGCACCTGAACAATCCTGATCTGCGTGCCGACATCGTTGATAACTCCGGGTTCTACCTCAGGATAGCTGAACCCCCTCGCCCCACGGACGCCGGCATCATGCTCACGGGTCCGGTGGATTACACCTCGCTCATCCGCATCCCCCCCCAGCATGCCCTCGTGGACCCAAACCACCACGTGCCCTAGCGCGTGCACGGCTGCTGTTCTGCGGAATGCGAGTGGAGTGACGGTGATTGGGTCGGGCTTGCACTTGCACACGTTGGGAAGGCAGCTGTATACAGAAGCGTACAGGGGAGGGAAGAAGGTTGCCGAGATTGATCGGCTCGATTACTAGTGAGTGCGCTGGCGTTGATTTGGTTCGGTGCATCCATGCGTCCATGCGTCCACGCGTCCACGCGTCCACGCGTCCACGCGTCCACGCGTCCATGCGTCCACGTGTCCACGCGTCCACGCGTCCATGTGTCCATGCGTTCTGCTTCTTTCTCTTCCCTCTTTTTCCTCACATCCCTCTCTTCCCTTTCTTCACTCTCTTCCCTCTCTTCCCTCTCTTCCCCCTCTTCCCTCCCAAATTCCTGCTGCAGCAACGCCAATCCGCAGCAAGTGCAGCCCATCTATCCACATTTCCAGCTGCTGCCTCATGTCTCTCTCTTTCCTCTCCTCCTGACCCTCTTCCCGCTCTTCCCTCTCTTCCCGCTCTTCCCTCTCTTCCCGCTCTTCCCTCTCTTCCTGCTCCTCCCTCTCTTCCCGCTCCTCCCTCTCTTCCCTCTCTTCCCTCTCTTCCCGCTCTTCCCGCTCTTCCCTCTTCTCCCTCTTCCCTCCCAAATCCCTGTCACAGTGATTCCAATTCGCAGCAAGTGCAGCCCATCTACCCGCACTACCAGCTGCTTCCAGGGGACGAGCTCAAGACCACGTGTGTGTGGGACTCCTCCTCCCGCTCCCAGGTATGACACGTCTCAAAGAGTTTTGAGTTTTGACATGTCTTAGAACGCACTTCCAGCTGCTACCCAGTGACGAGCCCAAGACCACGTGTGTGTGGGACTCCTCCTCCCGCTCCCAGGCATGACCGGTATGTAAAGGTTTGACGTATGGCACCCTTTTCGCCCATTGAGGTATGATTTGTCTCGAAAGCTTTGACGTATGAGGCGCCCTTTTTTTTTTTTTTTTTTTTTTTTTTTTTTTTTTTTTTTTTTTTTTTTTTTTTTTTTTGCGCTCGACAAGTCTCAAAAGTTCCAGCTGTTGAGACACCTCAAGACGCACTATTAGCTGTTGCCCGGGCAGGGACGAACTTAAGACCTCCTGTGTGTTTGTGGGACCCTCGTCCCTCTCCCAGGTAATGGGTGTGTGTGGGTTGTCTCTTCTCTTGTGGGCTTCCCTTGATCTTTCTCTTCCTCTTCTGCCCTTTCCCCAGTCTCTCTCGCATCCTTTAGCCACGTGCAGCGAGGTTTTTTTTGAGACGTCTCAAAAACAACCTCGCTGCACATGCCCAGTTTCTCTCGCATCCTTTAGTTATTTCGCCATCCCAGCTCCCCTAGTTGGTTTTCAACACCCGCATTCTAAATCTGCCTTTTCGTGTCTTGTCCGCATGTGTTGCCGCTCTCCAATCCGCAGGTGACACCTGGCGGCCCATCCACGAGTGATGAGATGTGTGTAGATTACCTCATCTACTATCCAGCCAGGCCGACCCAAGGTGGGCAGTGGGGGGATGGGGAGAGCGTTGGGCCGGGCCAAAGTGAGCGACGGGAGAGAGTGCTCGGAACAATCTTCATAACGCCCCTCAATCTACCAGTGATGGGATGTGTTTGGTCTACTACCTCATCTATTATCCTGCAAGGCCGACCCAAGGTGAGCGATGGGGAGAGCAGTGGGCAGGGACTAGTGGTGGAGGGGGTGTAGGGATTGTGAAGCCAGTGCAAGAGGTTAATGGATAGAGAGTAGGACTTTGTGATGTTGTGTGTGGTGGGTTGGTAGAGAGTAGACATCTGTGAGGCGAGTGTGTGGCATTGATGACGAATGTGGAGATTAGAAGCGGGGGTAAACACTGGTCGAAAGGGTTGGAGTTCGAGCAGCAGGAGGAGAGATCAATGTCAAGCTCTTCTCCCTCTTCCATGCCTCTTCTTCCCCAACTGCAGTGCTCGGATTTCGAGGCCTCTGCTTTTGAGGGCGCCTAAAGAACGGATACATAGCGAGTGAGGGAGGGATAAACTTGAGTCTGTCCTTCCTCTCCCTCTTGCCTGTCCGTCCCCCTTCCTCCACTGCAGTGCTCGGTTCGTGCTTTGACTTCTGTGCGGCATTCAACACTGTCAACAACACATTTGACATGAACCCTATGAACCCCAACCTCACCACCTTTTACTTTTGCGGTGGCCTTGAGAACCCCTACGTGCCCTCAACACAAAAGTGCAACATCAGCCATGGCGCCAATGTGCCTTTCAAGGCTCTCACCGGCTGCCCTGCTAAGTAAGTGTGGTTCCAATCGTGGAGCCACCTATTCACCCCTCCCCCCCCATTGCCTCTTGCCATTTGCCCACGCAATGGTCTGGAGCCTTTTTAATCTGGCCTTTCATACAATGCCATGCCAGTCCTGTTTTCTTTTTTATACATAATCATACATCCAGAAATGCAATCTCCTTCCCCGAGTCTCACACCACCACCATCAGTGCACCACCTGCCCCCCTGAGCTGTGCTGCATTATGTCCTCCCTCTCACCTTGGTCATTTCCGTTTGTCCCGTCCCGTGCCTCCCCTGCCCCCATTCATCTTCCCATTTGCAGGACTGCTGGCTCTTTGGCTGACCTTTCAAGCAGCGCCATTTCAGTCCCAGTGTCATCGCCCGCTAACACCACGGCACCACCTTCTCCTGCTAGCCCTCCCAACAACACGACTGGCAGCACCAACGCTACCAAGGCCGCTCCAGCGTTATTTGTCAAGGTCTCTGTGGGACTCTTTTGTGTCTTCTCTGTTCTCATTGTAGCGTTGTAGTGTAGCTGTTGGACCCTGTTAGACATGTCACGTCCCTAATGTACCCTTAGTATTTTGTGGGCAAGTGCTGACGGCGATACCTGACACTCGGTGGTTATTAGAAGTTATTGGCAGTGGCTGTATACGTTAAAACAGCAGTAGTGGCATTTCACACTCTGGCAGTCACACTCTTGTTTTTTAGCTGCAGCTTCTTGAGTGTCGCCGTTGCATTATCATGCAGATTGTAGGGTGTAGTGAGGTGAGCAATAGCCAGTTGGAATGATGGTGTTGGGCTGAGAAAATAGCATCAGGATCTTCTACCCATATGGTTTTATCATGTGCACGAATTATGAGTACCAGAGCAGAGCAGGGCATGCAACGGGCATGGTATGTTGGCAGATGTGAGTGGCTCCCCAAGAACTGTTGCAATCAAGTTCACCATATGGCCCCGGATATAAGCGCAGGCCTACTTAAAGCGCATACGCTGCGCATCTGGAGCACTGCGCTTATGGCCGGTACTCGATTATAAGCGCACCCCCTAAAAAGACGGATATATTATATGTGCATGCTAAATTTGAATTTGAAAATGTGTCAAATCACTGTAACGATTTTCACTTCAGCAGGCTAATGACTTCCAAATTCGATTTCCTTCGCAGTCAAACCCTGCACAGGCTGTGCGTCCAGTCAGCAGGTACTGTCAGGCGCACCTAATGGTATGTGCTGTGGTATGTGCTGGCAGAAATGACGCGATTGATGCTGTGCAGGCTTTCTAGTGATGCCGCTCGCAACGTTGGGAGTGCCGACCTATCACACCCAAAGAGCAGCAACCGAGCAGAGAAGAACCAACACTGCAGTGGGGAACGCTGCCATTATTGCGCGTGCGGGCTTTCCCGTGGTGCCGCTTGCAACGCTGGGAGTGCCAGCAGCAGGTGGTGAAGTCACAGCAGCAGACAGCAACGGGGAAGATGGTGGCTGTGTGGGAATGAGAGGCGATGAGATTGTATCCACAGCAAGGCCTGACAGCGACACTTGCGACCTGCAGCAATGGAAAATATGTGTGTGAGGGGGTTTGGCAGAGTAAGCCCTAGCATGAGGAAGAAGCACATTCAGTAAAGCAGAGAAGGATGTTCAGCAGAGCACACAAGGAGAAATCAAATGCAGTAGAGCAGACATGAATGTTAGCAGATAGGATTGTTGCAGAGTGCACGGATGAGCAAGCAAATCGAGGAAGAAGTGCAGTAGGGTGTGAATCGGAGTCCTTTTGCGCATATATTGATTCAAATCAGGAATGATTTTTAGCCGACTCACGAGTCAGTTTTCAGAGAAGCCTTGGTACTCACTGTGAGGGGCACCTGTAAACGGCAGTAAGAGAAGCCTACTTTTGAGGCACCAAATAGAGAGCCAGCCTCCGAAGAGGGCTTGGGGCTTACTGTGTGGGGCACCCGTGGAGGGCAGTGAGAGGAGCATTGGAGCCGAAGCCAACCGTGCAGGTTTGGTTTGTGGGGATGTAGCGGATCTCGCCAGCCCCACATGCATGGTTGGTGGTGCTTGCACAGTAGTCAAAGCACATCACCATCTCTGTAGGGAGAGCAGGAGGCATGGAGAAGCAGATGTGCTTTTGAGCGATTTTATAAGATTTTAAAACCATGACTTGCCAGCCCCACTCTCGTGGTTGGTGGTGCTTGCACAGTAGTCAAAGCACATCACCATGTATGCACAGTAGTCAAAGCACATCACCATGTATGCACAGTAGTCAAAGCACATCACCATGTATGCACAGTAGTCAAAGCACATCACCATGTATGCACAGTAGTCAAAGCGCATCACCATGTATAAAGGTTTTGTAAAAAACGACGTTTTTTTGTTAGAGAACTGTTGTCACCAAGAAAAAAAGGGAAAAACAAGGTCGAATACATTTCCAATCATGCCCACAAGCGCACGCATGCAAGGAGGGGTTCGTCCTCTTCATGCTGGTGATTTTCGCCATCAATTTGGTCTCATAAATGGCCGATTTTTTCTTCAAACGAAACCACCTTCTGGACCCGTTTTTACCGTTTTTTACGGTCGTTTTTTACGGCCATTTTTTACGGTAAATTTTCAAAAAAACGACGTTTTTTTGAACCTTGCCATGTATGCACAGTAGTCAAAGCACATCACCATGTATGCACAGTAGTCAAAGCACATCACCATGTATGCACAGTAGTCAAAGCACATCACCATGTATGCAGGGAGGGCGGCAGCAGGGATAGGGAACGGCATGGGAAATTAGAAGGAATGGTAACTAGTGTGCATGAACAAAACTTTGTGAATTATTGCTGAGACATTATGAATCAATGGAAAATCGTTATGAATTATGTGCACTCATGCGAAGTAATGTGAATACTTAGTGTGCATTAGTGTGCATCAAGGGAATGAATGCGCATAACATGCATCGACATGCATTACCATGCCCCTTGGTAACCGGATAATACACCAGGTAGTTGATGCACATCTCATCGTCACTGCTGGGCCCTCCTCGCGTCACCTGCACCCACATGCAAAGGCACGACGGTTCCAACCATGTAAAGATGCAAAAACACCGATGCAAATATATCCTAATCCATGGCAATCAGGTTTGACCTACATCACATTACGTGCCATGTGGCATCAATGCATGTAACCAGGACAGTTACAGAATGGCAACCGGCATAACGAGGGGAACATACTGCGGAGCGAGCGGAGGAGTCCCACACACACGTGGTGCGAAGCTCATCCCCGGGAAAGACCTCATACTCTGGCATGGTGGGCATGGTCTGCTGCGATGCAAAGTCACTGCCATGGGGGGTAGTGGGGAGGAAGAGGGGGAGACTTCTGAGTTTAATCAAGTCAGCTCATCGGCAGGTTACTGGGTTTGTGTTTGTGTGTGTGTGCGTGTGTGTGTGTGTGTGTGTGTATGTATGTGTGTGTGTGTATGTGTGTGTGTGTGTGTATGTGTGTGTGTGTGTGTATGCGTGTGTGTGTGTGTGTGGATGTATGTTGGTGTGTGTGTGTGTGTGTGAGGGAGAGGGAGGGAGCGGAAGGGATAGGGAGAGGGAGAGGGAGGGAGGGGAAGGGATAGGGAGAGGGAGAGGGAGGGATACGGTGAAAGATCGTGGGAGAGGGTGGGAGCGGGAGAGAGAGGGAAAGGGTGGGGAAGGGAGGGAGGACGGAAAAAGGGAGGGGGATAGAGAGGGAGACCGAAGGAGAGAGAGATAGGGATAGAGGGAGGTAAAGAGAGGAGGGGAGGTAGGGGAACAGAAACGAAAGAAGAGAAATCAGACGGATAGGACGGAAGAGGGAGGCAGAGGGGGAGAGGACGAGTGGTAGTGCTCACGCAGGACTAGTGGGCTGCTGAAGTTGAGCCTCTAGCATACCAGTTCCCCCTAACCCTCATTCAAGTCCACATCCTCTCACCCCTCCATGACTCGCTCTCCTCACCATACCACTGCATCTCACATGCTCTCCCTGCGAGACCTCCATTGTGACCATGCCTGCCTTCCCCCTCGCCCTCACACTCACCCATGGCCCAGATGATATAGGATGGAACCCCGGCAACGATGGGGCGGTCGTTGCAGTCGCCGGTATCCAGCTGGCGCCACATGTGCACGGTGGTCCACGTGTCGCCCTTGGATTGGTCCGTGGTCTGGCTGCCGCCCAGCACACGCCAGTCCTGCTGCGCGTCCAATACGACGCCTTCCCCCGTCTTGTTGAAGACAAACCTATCCGTTGCATACACGCGCCCCTCGCGCTCCACCACCCACGCTACCACCACATCTGGTAGCAAAAAAAAAAAAAATCGAAAGGGTTAGTACACACAGAATAAGAGAGAGAGGGAGAGAGAGAGAGAGAGAGAGAGAGAGAGAGAGAGAGAGAGAGAGAGAGAGAGAGAGAGAGAGAGAGAGAGAGAGAGAGATAGAGAGAGAGATGCAAGGACTTCGTAGTGGCATTCAGGACTTCCCTATCCGATTTCTGAAACCGTGATGTAGTAAACCCATTAAGTGCCTAATCTTTTCCACAATGTGGGGGGAGAGTGACTGCAGGTGAGATGTCCCATATCTTTCTTGACTGAATAGAAGTTACTAGGCTTGGGGAACATATGGGTGTAAAGGGGATACCTGAGCCAACCATGGATCCAATCTCTGACAACCCTACAGCGAGCCAGCCCGCAGACTGCGCCCTCGCGGCCATGTGGATGGTCTTGTCGTTTGTGCTGATGCTCCAAAAGAGCTCGAAGCGCGGGTCGAGCAGCGCCGTGCTGGAGTAGGACGAGAGCTCAGGCAGGGCTGCATCGGATGCAGCCACGACGCAAGCGGCATGATTGAGGAGGAAAGCTAGTACTAGTAGAAAACTTACTGCAATAGCATCATAGGCGGATCGCTGGCGGGGCGTCATCGTTTTTGCCTGGGAAAGTACCACTAGTAGAACTACTGGAAGCCAAATCAAAGCAATGACGACACATGTTCTACGAGCGAAGCATATACCTGTGATTCCTTGTGAGGAGGAGTGACCCAAAATGACCCAATGTCTTGGATTGAAGGAGAAGAATTGCTACAAGTAGAAGCTACTAGCCCGAAGTCAAATGCCGGCTGTCGCACGTCCTCCTTCCCTCCTTTTCCTGGTTGCGGTCCGAATCCGCAATAGTGATTGTGATCACGATCATGCCGTTCGTATTCTCTGGGAAAAGTTGGCGAATCTCTGTTGTTCGGAAAAAAAACGGTATGTAACCGTAGTACACGCATGACTTAGGGTTTGCGAGGCACCCCCCTAGACGCACCAGCACCACACCGCACAATCGCCAGAATACAGCATCGCAAAGGAGCCACTGCACAATCGCCAGAATGAAATGTTTGGTGCCCCACTGCCCAACCGCTCTAGTCGCTACAACTCCGTGCCCCACCTCGCGAGGAGACGGCCGCGCGTGCTTCGAATGGCTGGCATAAATCCTGCTTGATACAACACTGCTGTATCACGATAGCAGGGTACAACACATCCGGGATGTCGTC